TCGCTCCTATGCGCGCAGCTTCCAGATGGAGCAATGCGACACAAACATCTGCGCCGCCGTCTGCGAATATGGATTCAAGGTAAGATTGAATGAAGCAACTACCAGGGCAGACCAGATTATGATAGTTATCTACATTTTATAGAATGACCACAATGGCTGTCCCACCTGCGAGTGCTCTGAGCCCTGTGAGGGCTTCAAGTGTGCCCTGGGCTCACACTGTGAGGTGGCCACGGATCCATTGTGCGAATCAGGCTCCACTCTGTGCGCATCTTGGCCCGTTTGCAAGCCGGATCTAGCCTACTCCAATCCCTGTGATATAGGCACACCGCTTTCGGACACGGTCAGCGGCGAGGTTATGTATTGCTTTGAGGAGCGACAGGCGCGTAGCTTTCAGCCCACAGCCTTCTTTGAGCCTGAGACAGAGTCCAAGCAAGGGCGCTCCATGAGCAACCGCATCATGTGCCCCGAGCAGTACAAGTGCACCAAGCTGCACCGCGAGGCGGAGAGCGTCTGCTGCCCACTGCCAGAACAGACCACAGCTGCCGAAGATGAGCAAACGACGAGGCAGCAAACCAGTAAGTCTCCATTGGAATAAATAGTTTTTAATTGTGACCAATCGACCAGTTGAGCTAACAGTCAAGCAATCAGCCTCTCAATCAAGCAGTCTGTCAATCAATAAGTCTGTCAAGCATTCCATAAATCAGACAAGCAATGAGTTAGAGAGTCAGCCAGCCAAAGAATGGGTCAGTCGCTCAGTCATTCAATCAATTAGTCAGTCTTAGTCTGTCAACCAGAGAATCAATCGGTCAGTCAGTTATCTTATCAGTAGGTCAACCGATGAATCAGGCAAGAGAGAGGGAGAGAGACAGTCAATAAGTCAGTTACTTTATCAGTCAATCAATCCGTCAATCTATCAATTAGTCAAAGAGTCCACCATCCAGACAATTTGGCTGGCCATCTGTCGATTTATCAGCAATCAATCAGTCGGTCAGCATTCTGCGAGTCAATCACTTTGCTATGTTTTTTTTTCTAAATTTCTTTTATGCCTCTTGCAGTGTGCGAATATCTGCGCGATTTCTCGGAGCGCATGGAGGGCACCGAGGCGGGCATGCAGCTTGCCATGCCGGCGCCACGCTGCACAGACGAGGGTGACTATGCGGGCCGGCAGTGTGAGCTGCGCAAGATACGCGTAACTCGGGCCGAACAGCGCCAAATTCTGGAGGAGAACACCATAAGGCGCATGCGCATGCTGCTGGCCGGAGCAGCTGCTGCTGGTGCGAAACGCAGTCGGCGCAACGCGGAACGGCTAAAGCTCTACCGTGTGAACGACAGCGCGCTGAAGGTGCAAGTCGCGGGCGCTGTGGCGCCGGCGCAGGCAATGGGCCGGAGCGCCAAGGTCATCGATATGGGCGCCGAGCGGCAGCAGCAACAGCTGTTTGGCACGGACATTAAGAAGGTGGCGCCGGCGCCGAAGCGACCCAGTGCCGAGGACGAACTGGTTGAAATGGAAGTGGAGCAGTGCTGGTGCGTGGACAGCTTTGGCACCGAAATACCCAAATCGCGTGGCTACAATGTCAGCGACGAGAGCTGCCAGCAGCTGCGCGTGGAGCTGGACTGCCTGGATCTGACCTGCCGCATGGGCTGCGAATATGGCTTTGCCCTGGATCCGGAGACCCGCTGTCCGGCCTGCCAGTGCCGTGATCCCTGCGAGGGCGTCAGCTGCGGAGAGGGCAAAGAGTGCCGCATTGTGGATGTTAGTTGCGAGGGCGAGTACTGTCCGCCAGTGCCCGCGTGCTTGCCACGCAAGCCGGGCCAGTGCCCCTATCTGGTGCCACCGGGACCGACGGATAATCTGGATGCGAACATCTGCGCCTACGAGTGCCGCACGGATGCCCACTGTGAGGGCACACGTCGCTGCTGCTCGAATGGCTGCGGTACGCAGTGCGTGGAGCCACAGCTGAAGACCGCCTGTCAGCATCTGCAGGCCATACAGCTACATCAGAGCTCCGAGCTGGGCATACCCGCACGCCAGATGACAGTGGCCCAATGTGATGCGATAACGGGCAAATGGGAGCAGGTGCAGTGCTCATCCGATGGCTATTGCTGGTGTGTAAATGCACAGGGTGAACAGCTGCCGGGCACCAGAGTCAAGACGCCAGAGATGCCCATTTGCCGCGCCAACTCCAGCTATGCCTGCAGTCCGATGAAGTGCAGCAATAGCTGCGAGAGCGGCTACCAAGTGGATGCCCATGGTTGTCCCAGCTGCGAGTGCCGCAACTATTGCGCCGAAGTGAGCTGTGCCAGCGACGAGGAGTGCCAGCTGATTAGCGTGGAGTGCGTGGACACGCCCTGCCCCAAGATGCCCATCTGTGTGCCGCGACGCGCCTCCGTCTGTGCCGAGGGCAAGCCCCTGCAGCAGGGCGAACTGGATGTCAGCTGTGGCCCGCACAGCGAGCAGGAAACCTGCCCCACCACGCACACATGCCAGCTAAATCCGGTCAGCAATCGTGGCGTCTGCTGCTCCAAGACGCGTGATGTCTGCTTCGAGTCCATGGATCCCCTGTGCCTGGCCAGCAATCAAAGCGTGCGCAATGCCACACGCTATCGCTTCAGTCCCAAGGCCAACAAATGCGTGCCTCTGACCATAGATGTCACATCAACGGCCTGCCAGACCAAGAATCTATTCCACAACGAGCTGGCCTGCAATTCCGTGTGTCCAGGTGAGTACAGCATGCACTTCTTTGTTTGCTGACTAAGCTAATACACCCTTTTTCCTTGCCCTACCACACAGTGCTCACCCAGTGCGAACGTCTGAAGCTGAAGAACAGCCTGGCTGCGCAGCGCAGCGGCCACTCCTCCGTCTGGTTCCAGCCACGCTGTGATCCCATCACCGGTCACTGGATGCCCGTGCAGTGTCTGGGCAAGCAGCCGGCGCTGCCAGCACGCCACACCGAAATTGTGAGTCGCGCCTTTGCCAGCAGCAGCAGCAGCAGCAGCTCGGAACAGACGCCGCCCAGCCCGTATGGCGTCTGCTGGTGTGCGGATCGCAAGGGAGCACCACTCAAGGGCACACTCACGCGCGACATTGAGCCCACCTGCAACAGTCGACAGGCGCGCAACCGCAAGAATCTGGAGCTGGGTGATCCATTGATGGAGCAGCTGATAGCGCAGCTAACGCAGCTGAACGATGTGGATAGCTTGGGCCTGGATCTAGATGAAGTGGAGGCCAAACTTGCGCAGCCCACCACAGCGATGCCCGCTGAGAGCGTCAGCGAGCGCGTCATGGAGCTGGCCAATTCGCTGCTGGACTCACAGCTGTCCGTGGAGGTGGCGCCCATGCAGCTGAATACGACACGCTGTCACGCTCTGGCCGCCACCGCTACCTTCAACGTTAGCTGCGACGAGGCGGGCGCCTTCCGTCCACTTCAATGCAATGGACGCAGCTGCTGGTGCGTCGATGCCGCTGGCAATCAGCTGCAGGCATCACATGTCTTTGGCCAGGGCGACAAACGCTGCGATCCGGTGCCCATCGAGGCGGTCTCCATTGAGCTGCACATGACCAACACCAGCGGCGGCGGCGGCGACGGTAGTGTGCGCAATGTCTACGATTCTATAAGGCGCGAGCTGCAGCAGCTGCTCGGCTCCGTTGTCGAGAATTTGCGCGTCCAGGAGAACTTTGATGGTTCGGTCATTGTGCGTTTCGAGCTGCACAACGAGGCCAAGGTGGACATGGCCTTTGCCATCGAGATGGCCATTCAGGCCGGCGGCTTTCATCTGGTTGGCGGTCGTTTCCGTCCGGATTTGACACGCTCGCATTTCATCCATCGCACAGCAGTGCCGTCCGTGGCGCAGGCACGAGCCACCGCGCCCGATGAATCCGTGCAACTGGCCATGTTTGTGATGGCCAGTTGCTCGGCGTTCCTCGTCAGCGTCTTTGTCGTCTATGTGATGCTCAAGCGGGGCTGGCACAAGACGGGCGCACTACACAAAAATGCCTACGATTATCCGAAGGGCGTGGCTGGCAGCTGTGAGAAGCCGCTGGACTATTCGCTGCCAATTTTCGTGCTGGACGACACACAGCCGGAGAGTATTAAGGCCGCCAAGGCGTAGTTGTGTTTAGTTTAGTGAAATCAATTTGTAAATAAATTTTTTGGCTAGACGCCGCTTGGCGCCGCCTCGAGTGGTCCATGCCCCACATCCAGAAAATGCTGACAGATGGCGGGGCACCTATCATATATGTATGTATGTACTTTCTAGACGCATAAGACGACTAATTTATGAATAAAGCTTTAAAAACGAACTAACTGATTTGCACCTCTCTTACGCAAATTGAAGTGAATTGTGAATTGTGAAAAGAAGTTTATTTTACTCTCACAAAATGTTGTGTTCAGAATAACTTCGGTGTATATTGTCCGATCAATGCAAATGTTTCTAAAATACCGAGAATATATTTTCAAAAATAAGTAAAAACTTCTTGAAATATCTATAAATGGCAATTTTCCAGATTTAGGTATACTACAAGAGGACTCCAAACCAAATTTGATGAAGTTTGAAGTTTCCGTGATCGATTCGAACAGACAGACAAATATCGCCAGATTGTCTAATGAAGCTCATAAAGAATTTATATACTTTATAAAGTCGACAGGAAGCATCCCTTTGCCTAACCATAAAGATATAAGAATACGGCTGCTTGGGCCCAAAGTTCGCCTACAGATCGTAGCAATCGATTTCTGCCAGTTCCACTTATATTCCGCCCAAGAAAGTGGGCTCAGTTTTATTCGATAAACCATACACATTCCTCATCTATAATTGTCTAAGGAAATAAAGATCGCACATGTCAGCAAACAATTTGATTTTAATATTTAATAATACGTTTACATACATACACCATTATGATGTGTTTCGATCTGATTTGTAATCATTATAAATATGCATGCATTAATAACATTCATAAATTTTGGCTTCACTTTATCAATAAATCAATAAAACACTTATCAATGTTCTGTGTGTGTAAACTATAAAGATATCTGTATTCGTATTGTATGTATATATATACTCTTATATATATATATATAAATATATTTGTAGAGTCTGCTATATGCTAAAACGGCTCTGGATCTTAAAGAACAGACACCGAACGAACCGCTCAAAAAGAAACAATTTAAATGAAATCAAAAAATGATATTATATATATAAGATTATGTATGTAAGTTCTTTAGTAGAAAAAAATGCAATACTCATAGTTACAATTGGAAAAGGTTTTTCATTCATTTTTTCGCTTTGAAAATGCCATTGCTTATATGTACGTGTGAATGTTTGTTCAAGTTCGTATAGTTAAGATTTGTAACAATTGGCAAAAGTTTAGCGCTAAGCTCTACAGTTTTGGCAAAATAATAATGAATGTATGTAATGTATGTTTAATCTATTGTTATTTGGACTATTTTGTACTTAATAACTAGTTACATGCAATTCAAACATTAATATCTTTAAAATTTCGTGTTGTTTTTCTTTTGGTTTAAGAAGCATGCTTTTGAGAAAATGGCTAAATATCATAATTGTATACATATGTGTGCGTGCTAGATATAAGTATATAACTGAAATACAGTCAAAGCTCGCTTTAGCGAAAAAACTTGAGCTCAAAGAGAGTCATAATAGTATTGAAAATTATTTTACAAACTTTATACGCATGCGCCTATGATAAAGAAATTACTTTAAATCAAAATGTTTAAGACTTCAATTTTGGTTGCCAGATTTCTAGCTGGCTTTTTCAATTTTTAAGACAAATTTAGGTGAAGTTTTTATCGTTGAAAAGTTGCTTGTCCGCTTCAAGAAACGTTTTTGCACAAGAAAAATAAATAAAAGGAAAAGTTTGACTAACCAAATAAAATCTATGCCCCAAGGCAGCTGTTCGCTAGCAGAGCTTTCACTGTACAACTTTGTGTGTGTGTGTGTTTTGTGTGTTTTACAAATGCATCCAAATGGAAGAGCGATGCGTTAAAATAATATTTTTGGTTACTTGTTTAGTGGCTATAAATAAAATTGTTACGCAGAAATCTTACAACAAATGTGTTAGCCAAGCGACCAAATGGCCCAAATGTGCGCAGACAAATGATACAAAAATTAAATGAAGAGAGCGAGCAGCAGCAGCAGCAGCTGACTAAATGGACAGCCCAATTGGATGCATCTACTTGGCAGCACCAGCTCCTCCGGCATTGTTATTGTTGTTGTTGTTGCGGGCATTTCGCTGCGCATTGCTAAAACCACCAAAGGGTATGGACGCGCGCTGATCCTCCATGCGACCGCTCTGCACCTTCATAATGAGCGAAAAGAAATCCTCATCCGGCACCGTGGTGCCGCGTGGTCCGGACTGAGCATGTGCGCCTGCGGCAGCCGCTCCAGCTGCGGGCGGCTGCATCTGTGGCGCCTCCGCATCCATGGTGACATGTGCGCGCGGCAACTCGGAGCGTTGCTCTTCCAGACGCGAGCCTTGGCAACGCATCAACATGTCCAGAAATGCATCATCCGGCTGTTGTGTGGTTGTGGCGCTGCGTGACAGCGGTGCATGACCTATGGCCGGCGGCACGCCAGACGAGGGCGACTTCAGACCCGGCAAATTGGTGGGATCCACAAACAGCGAGTTCTGCTGCACCAGCGGCTTGCGAGTGGCGCCCGTGGCAGCAGCAGCGACGGCGCCTGCGCTGTTTATTTTAATGGAGCAGCGCTGATCGTCCATGCGCTTGGACTGTGAACGTGAGAGCATCTCGAAGAAATCGTCCTCTTTGGCTTTTGTGTGTGCGGCACTGGCCGCCTTGTGCTTCTCCTCCTGCAAACGTTTGCCATCTGGCGTAATCTTGATAAGGTCCAACTGTTCCATGCTCTGGCGACGCACGCGCACCTAAAAAAAAAACAAGCACCAAATGATGCAGGAGTCATGGAAGTATGAGGCACGTTCATTTACCATGCGTCCCTGAGAGCTCTCTGAGCCATCCGATTGATGCCCGCTGGCCGAGTGCTCCGAAGCGCTTGAGCGCTCCTCATCCTGTGTGGGGGTATGGTCCGCCTCCGGCATGCCCAGCAGCTTGCGTAAATCTGAAATGTTAACGCGTGCCGTGCTCTCACCCACCGGATCGCGCAGCTCCTTGGCCAGCTGCAGATGCGATTCGGCAAACTGCAGCGCTTTTTCGTTATTGCCCATGGCCGAGTGGGCATTGCCCAGAGACCAGCAGGCGCGTGCCTCACCAATCCGATCGCCCAGCTCCTGTGCAATGGCCAAATGTCGATGATGGTACTCAATGGCCGTGGTAAACTCATGGAGCAGCGTGTAAGTATTGCCCAAACTATAGCATGATTGGGCCTCCACCTCGCGCTCGCCCAGCTCCATGGCCAGCGCTAGCGTGCGCTTATAATGCTCAGCCGCATCCTCAAACTGACCCAGAAATATGTGCGAGTTGCCCAAATTGCTGTTAGCACGACGTTCCGCAGCGCGATCCCCGAACTCGCGTGCAATACGCAAGCGCTCCTGATGGTGCTCAATGGCTGCCTGCAAGCATGGAGAACATGATAGCATGAGAGCTGGAGATAGACAGAAACCCAAGTCAACTTACCTGAAAGTCGCCCAGCAAGTAGTAGGTGTTGCCCAGATTGCCGCAAGCGCGACCCTGAGCACCACGATCGCCCAGATCGCGCATAAGCTGCAGATTCTCCTGATAGAATTCAACGGCTTTGGCCAAAGCCTCCTTGACATCGTCACCGAACTTTCCCGGATTACGCTGGCCCAGATGCTTGCCCTTGGCATGGTAGACATTGCCCAAATTGTAGAGTGCCCGACCCTCGGATAGGCGATCGCCCAACTGACGAGCAAGCGTCAGATGACGCTCACAGCAAATGGCCGCCTCGTCGAAGCGACCCATCACTTTAAGTGTATTGCCCAGATTGCCAGAGGATTTGGCCTCACCCAGTTTGTCGTTCATGGATTTTGCCAGCGTTAGATCGTGTTTGTGATACTGCATGGCCTTGGCATAGTCACCCAAATAGAAATATGCATTGCCCAGCTGCGAATAGATGGCAGATAGCGTGCGCAGATCGTCGGTGCCTGCCTGTATCGCTGCCTGGAAGAAGGCAACGCCCGCCCGACAATCACCTGCCTTGCACAGACGTTCGCCCTCCAAAGCCAGCTCCAGACACATGCTGGAACTGCCATCGGAGCCGTGATGCGAATTGGAATCGGGACCACCACCAATGCCCATTGTGGACACATTTTCAGCTGAGGCCGAGAGCGAGGACATGGCTTTGTTTTTCTTTAGCTTGGCTTAGCTTCGCGTAAAAACCGTTTACTGGTGGCCAAAACGCACGCTAGACTTGACTGCGACGCACGCAGAGAGTGTTTGGCTGTATCTTTGCTGCTTAGCTTTTAATTACTTTAACAATTCACTTTTTTTTACCGTTTTGCAAATCAATTGGGTTTCGTTAATTTCATTCTGATTCACTTTGCCAGTCGATTAATTGTAATCGAGTTAGAGTGTTGCCATCTATCTTACAAATTGTTATGTTGCCATATCAATGAAATTTAATTGAAGCTTGAAAACAGAAAAAGTGCATTATTTCTTATTACTTCCATAGGCATTAGATAACATTTATTTTAGATATACGCTAATTATTTAGTTATTTTCAAATACGCTGCATTGTCACATATCGATAAGAAAGTCGACTAGTAAATTTGAACGCATTAAACAACACTGCACGTCAGACTGAACGTACAGCGACCCCTTTAAAGATGGCGTCACTTTCTACTGTGTCTGTGAACAAACCAAGTTGCCGCTTGACAAAATTGAAATTTTTTGGCATAAAATATTACCACCGGCTGCACTAAATAGTCGCAAAGTGTAAATGAAAGTGCCAGGAATGATTTTCAATTGAAATTGTGGCAGGTGTGTGCGCCATTGTCAGTGCAAATCATAAACAAAAAACAAATAGTTGAGCCAAACGAAAAGCGCACTGTGAAAAAATGCGAATGTCGTCGTCGTCGTCGCTGTCGTCGCCGCTTTGAGTGTACGTGCGCCGCGTTTTGCACGGCAGCTGCGCTGCTACCACAAATTAAAGGTGTGAATTTAATTTCAATAATTCGTGTGTATTAACATACATCAATTAATGCAGCAAAGGTATTGCCTGTCCGGACGACGTTGACAGGAATGTGCTAAATTACATAAATTTAAGTAAGTAAATAACTGTGCCCTGTGTTCAAATTCTGCGAGCGAGTGGGAGCAGCGAAAGAGCAAGAGATTACGCGCAGTAGCACACACTTACACGCTCAAACAAAAGTACGGGAGAGCGGAAAACAATCATTTGTGGTGAGTGTTGTTGTTGCCAGGATGGTATTTAAACATTTTTAATAGCCGACCGGCTCAACTTTAACTGTAACTAATTTGTTTGAAATGAAAGCCCTAAATAGTGGCCTATTTAATGAGCTGTATTTAAAGGAGTACATGCTTGTGTGGTTTTGGGAAAAATTCTTATTTGTTTTTTTTTTTTTTTTTTCACTTATTATGAACGAAAGAAAATTGTTCTATACACGTACAGATGTTATTTCATTTCAAACTCACCACACCCATACTGGTGAGAACTTTGGAGCTCGCTCAGTATTTGAATACATGTGTGTGCATGTGTGTTAGTGTTAGTGATTCACAAAAGCAACAACCCCAACAAATTATCTCTACTACACATTTTTGCTACTTTTACTATACACCAACAACAACAGCAAGAACAACGCGATTGCAGCTGCTATCATCGCACGGTGCTGCTTCAGCTGCTGCTGCTGCTGCTTCTTTCTCTTCACCTGTCGTCGCCACCAGAGTTGCCGTATTGCACAGAAATAATAAAGAACTGATGTATCCGCCGCTTTTTACAGTTCTTTTCATATTACTTTTTTTTTTTTTTTTGCCTCTTCATTTGTCCAAGTGCTTTTTCTATTTCTTGTGTCTTTGCTTTGGTCCCCGTTTCGTGCACTGGCAATACCGCGATGTGGGGCTCTCGAGCTTTAGGGGAGACACACACACACACACACACACACATGCTCCCAAATACATGCATACAGAAGCAGCAGCAGCAGAGAGCACAAACCGAAAAAACGGCTTTCTTTGTGCCGCAGCAGCGATGTCGCGACGTCGTTTTAGTTGCCGTACGTCGCTGTCGTCGTCGGTTGGGCGCAAGAAAACCGAGTGAGAATCCAAGAAGCATATTAAAAAATATACAAAAAAAAAAAGCAGCTAAAAAGCTGAACATATTTTATATCAAAATCTACAACTAAATACAACTCTCTCAAGTGCGCAATAAACGTGTTAACTGTAGTTAAATGCATAAGTATGTGTTCACGAATGTATCTACATACATAATTGCAAATACAAACACATACACGCATTCATATGCACGTAAGGGGGCCGGCGGCAGTCATTGCTGGCAACAATTGAAATTCATTTGTGCTTTTAAGAATATATGTACATATATATGTATGTATGTATATATATTTTTTATTTTTCAAAGTATATTATTTTTAGAATATCGATTTTGTTGGCTGCCCGCAGCTTGCCAGAGCAGAGCAGTCAGCAGCAGCAGCAGCAGCAGCTACGTGAGTGTGTGTATGTGACTTAGTCTGTGCATGTGTGTCACAGGCAATAAAGAATGTGTTAAGATTATGAGCATAACTCATATAGACAAAACGTTACCTAACTGCCGTGCAAAAAGAATTTAGTAAAAAATTTAAATCGAGTCTCTTTAACAATTTATTCTGCGATCAAAGCAACTGCTTGATGTAGCTGCCTATATATCTCTCTCTCCTTCTCTCTCTCTCTCCCTATGTCGTCTGCTGTCATTGCTGTTAGCATACGTCGTCATTCTTATTGGCATTTTTGTTCGTATTTGATTCTTATATTTCACCTACATTATTACCATACACTCACCAATACTCGCACACAAGCAGCGCGCACACACACACACACGTATGCACGCTCATAATTTGCTGCTGTGTTTTGCTTTTCGCCTTTTGCTTTCAGCATCGTATTCGCTTTAACAAGATCTCTGCGACGACTGCCCTACGCCCACCCGTCACACCGTCAACGTCAACATCGTTGCCCACGTCGCAGTCGCCGTCGCTGTCGCTGTCGTCGCTTATAATTTACATGTGTTATCCGCCCTCTCCCCTTTGACCAACACCAGCGAATACAAATACTATTGCGAAAAAGTGCAACTTTATCGCACGGGCGTAAATTTGAAATTGAAAATTGTGTTTAACTGAGTAATAACAAAATCGTTTTTGCAGTGCTGCGTTTTATAATTGATATCAATAAAATAACGCTGCGAAATTGAGGTATGCCAAAATATTTATTAATTTAATACATATGAGAGCTGCATAGAGAATGGAACGGAAGTTGCCGCCCGCTAACCACTTGCCCACAGAGGGCGCTCCATTTTTGGACCGTTTGTTCTATTTCCGTTGAATTCCAATTGGACTATGCCGTCTGGCAACAAAGAACGGGTTCTAATTGACTGAGTGACGAACCTGCTCGCCCAATTAACAAGTTTCGATTGAGTTGTTACTCAAACGCAGCGCTGCCAGATCCACTCGAAATTAACACAATTGTGTGAAATATGCCTGCCATATATATGTATGCATATAAATACGTACGTACATATGCATACACATGCAAAGGTCACATTTGGTTATCAATTTATCGGTGTGTCTACAGTATTTTTTATTATTATAATTTATATTGCCGCAATCGAAAATATAAAATTTGTATATGTCGTCACATTGAACGTGACTTTTACTCGCAAGCGCTGACATTAGCAATTGCAATTGCTTTTATTGCCTCGACGCAATCAATTTTGCAAAATAGAGATGACATCTAATTGATACGTTTCGTTTGTGCTATCGATTGTTGTAACTGATTGAAAATGTGCTTAAAAATGCTGTTGACCATGAATAATAAAAAAAAATACAAATAACAAATATATTATTATGCTATCGATAAGTTTGGCTCTTGAATCGATTTTATTGCTAAACCTCGCCCTATTATTGCTTCTGGCCAATTAACTAATTACTGAAATCTATCAACGGCACTTTACGCTGGCCAAATGAATTTATATCCTTGGTTGCCAAAGCGTAGGCTTAAAAATGTGATAAAGACCGTTCCACATTCGCAGCGAAATGGTTTCTGTTTAAATCATCTGTAGCTTCAATTATCATCAAATTACTGCAGACGACCCGTTTTTTTTTCTTCTCTTACTCTTACTGATTTTTCTTGTTGTTTTCGCCGTTGTCTGGCTTTGCAGCTAAAATGAGCGTGCTAAAAGCCAATTTGACATCAGCCAAGGCGTCCGTCTCTGTGGGCAACCTTCTCAACCTTTAAATGCATCATCTATATCTGCTTTCTTTTTATACCCTGCATAAATGTCGATTGTATATTATTTGTCAGCATTTTCATTCGATTCGATAAACTCAATAACGATTTTTTGTAAGACCTTTTCCACCTTATTATTATAGCGTATCATGCAGTCTAAATATTTCTACTGAAAAGTTATATTTAACTTGTTTGTATTTGTATTTATTGTTTTGGTTGTCTGTTATCGTTTTGCTTCAATTGTTTTTTTTTTTTTTTTTGCAGTTTCCTTTTTATTTTTATTTCAGCACGTTATGCAGCAGTTGTTGTTATTGTTGATGTACCTGTCCGTGGCTCACTCACATATAAAGCAACTCCCCAATTTTTGTGAACGACCCAATTCGCGTAGCAGCCCCCATTTCACGCTTGTGCATGTTGTTGTTTTTATGTTTACATTGAGATACATTTATACATGCGCGTATCTACGCATACTACAAACAATATGGCGCATATTTCTTTCAACTCCATTCGAGAAATAAGCAATTGTATTGCATATTTCGCTGCCCACGCCCCCCCTTGATGATCCCACTCAGAATTGTAAACAAAAGGCTAAAAGGGAAAAGAAATATGCTTCACAAATCGCAGCTTCATACATATCTACAATCAATTGCATTGAGCTTTTCAATTTTCCAATGAAATAATATGAATCGCAATGGAATTTCAATCGGGCTTTTGTTTTCCTTTTTAATTGTTTTTAAAATTTCGGTTTGTTGTGAATAAAATTCTGTGAATTTATCAAGTTAAATCGTATGATATTCAATATATATTTTTGTTATTGAATACATTTAAAACCATTCGATTAAAAAATAAAATACATAAATGTTTCAGCTGTACAAATACTCATGCCAAATTCAAATTCACTGATTATCGTAAATTTCTATTCGAATATGTTTAATTAGTTCTCTCAGTTCTCACATGTTAGTCACTTAGAGAGGGTTGTATTATTTTACATCTGGCAATTATGACGTCATTTTAAATATCGAGAATTAAGCCGCAGCTCGTTATAATTGGGTGATTGCGCTGTTGTGGTTGGGTTATTTTTAGCCAGTTATTGCCTGGAAGTCGGTAATAGAGTTGTTTAAACTGAATATTGCCCTTCTATGCGATTTTCTTGGTAAGCATAGTTTTGCATATGCTGTTAATATCGCCCTTCTATGCGATTTTCATGAATTGCTTTGAGTGTTATTGACGCGATGCGTTTAGGCTTTTAATATGTGCAACTGTTTACAGGATGACTGCAAGTCGAGCACCTTTTTTCCTGAATGCTATTAAACATGTAAAAAATCAGCTGTCAGACGGACATGCATAAGTGCCACGAAAAGCCATTAAACAACACACTCGCACACACACTGACAAGCGTAGGAAAAACTGTTCGTTTTCTTTTCGCTATTATTAAATGCGGCAATTAATGACGTTTTTCCTTTTGCGTTCCGCTCATGATATAATTTTAGACGGGGAAAAACTTGAGCAGCAAAAACTGAACGAAATTTGGCAAATAAATTCGCTCATTTGGCCCAATATTCCATTTACCAATATTGCCCGAAAAAAAACTCAATTCAAGTGCAGTTAACTCGCGTATGTTTTTATTTTTGAATAGTTCTTCAATTTGCGCTTATTTTTAGATATAATAATTTGAGTTTCTTCGGATGCCAGCTGCATGAAATCACGAGGCCTTGAATTTAAATATTGAACAGAGAAAGAGAGACTGTGAGAGAAAGAGAGAGAGAGAGAGAGGGAGAGGGGAATGAATGTCAAGTGCATTTAACAATCACTTTTTTAATGAGGCTGGTCGGGATTTAGTTAGGAATCGATTCGATTCGATTTACCCAAAAGGTGATTGTCCTAAAAGGAAAGCTCAGTCAATCAAACCGCAAATTAAATTATGCTTAGCATATTTATAAAGCTTTAACCTTGTG